ATGACAGGGGGTGGAGTGAAATAGAGCGGGCAGAAGATATAAGGAAGGAATTAAGCAGGTGTAGTGATTTGGAAGATTTAGTAACACTGATTAAAAAAGATTGACCAGAATCGTCTTTCATAAATACCAGGCCTCTAGCGGCAAATCAACAAAAAGATCAGAGTACTGCCGTAATTGTACACACTACATTAGAAAAAAGTGACATGAGCAAAAGACTAGGTCAAGAATTTTGCCACACCCACAAACCCAGGCTAAGGAGAGTGCAATAAACTGGACATTTACACAGTGCAGGAAAATATCTTGATAACTATCAAGAAATCCAGTTTAGAAACGACAGCGCGGACCTTCAGCTTTAACAAGAAGAGGAAGAAAGCACCTTATCTGGCAATTAGGCATAAACAAAGAAAAGCACCATGGAAGACCCATTCGAGTACAGTTTAACCGAAGAAAAGGATTGGGAAACGAAAGCAAAATAGTTTGGAAATAAAAAAAAAGAAGAAATACAATTTGAGTGTACTTACCATACTGCTCTAGTACTGTTTTGTACTTACCGAACAATCTATTCTATATACTTATCTCGAAAGTGTCTATCACAGAGCCGTATGCAAACATTGACACTAAAACTGCCTTCCCCAGAAGTAATGCCAAAAGTAGTTCCTTGGGAGATACTCAAAGCGGTTTGTGGACGTTTTTTAGGTAAGGTACCTCGGAGGACGACCATCCGCCCGCAGTACCTATTTACGGTCGTGCTGCTACACATGTTCTCATGGCACGGAGAGAGAGAGAGAGAGAGCGCGCGCCAAGTGGTTGCTAGACGTTGAAAGCATGACAAATTAAGCATGTATATCATTTTGTATCACGATCATGATAACAATGTCTGAGGAGTATATCTTGACAGAAGGCCACGCGCAGTAATCGTCACGAATGATACACGTATATATAAGCGCAAATATTATAGGGATAGTTACATCATTGCTTAAAAAGCACATATATATCTGTACCCCATCTGTAAGACTAATAATAGCACACGAGAGAGCGGAGAATATGCCGAATGGGCCAAAATTCACAGGTGCCCTCGTTTGTTTGTGCCGGTTGAGTGAGAGACACATCGCTATTACTCGTCTATTTTTTGAGAGTTTGACAATTCCCACAACACATACATATATTAAACTAGACATTTAGTGATAAAAATGTAATTCGTTTTTTTATATGGCGATAATCAATTCACATTGAAAATTTCAGTGAAAATGTCGAAAATTAAAAGCACATTGTCGTAAAGTGCCTGTATCAATCAAAGTAAGATTTAAGAAGATAATGGTCAGGTTTAATTAGAAAAAATGTTTTTCCATATCACAATGTCTGGCATCTCGAATAAAGCTTGAACCGGCTGCATTCCACTGTTTATTGAAAGATAGCAGTTGGCTTTGTACAAAGCAAGCCGCCTGTGATCTCCAATTACTCGTAATCACGCGAAGACAGTTGGAAGACTATCAAGATTAACCACGAATTACTTCCTATTTTTGGAAAAAGTATACTCTCAGCCTTAATACTTTATAAGGTTGTGCGCATTGTGCGCATTTATACATAAGATGTAATGAGATGAGTTTTTTAAATTTTGATTTAAGCCCATTCATTTATCGAATAGAAGAAATGTATTTTTTGTCAAAAAGAGACCAATATTTAATAATATACTAGTCATATTGACTAGAAAACGGAATATTAGCAAAAAAGGAATTTTAGTGATACTTATTATTAACTATTATATTACTCCTTATTATCTGTCTAGTAATTAAATACTTAATAGAAAAACTAAAGAGTAAATTGATTATCTGTTCTGACGACGCTGACGAGTGACGTATAAATGTGATAATTTTAAAATGTACGTTACCTAGATATTACCAATTTTACTTGTGAAGTGGTAATAAAATACTGATTTTTTCCAATAGACAATAATGCATCTAACATTTCAATAAGTGTTTTGTTTAAATGTTTCTAAATATCTGGTCGTCGAAAGTTTATCATGGATAACGATACCACAGTCTACTCAGTACCAGTTAGTCTTGTTTGGTTGTTTTTCATTATCCACTTCTCACCTGCTGCGCATATTTTCGTACACACTCCAGCAGTCAGAGCGCCAGTTTTGATTGTTTTTATAAACAAAGCTTTAATTCAGCTAAGAACCTTGATACATATATAAGATAAGCGAATATCTGTGTAGGTATTCCAGATTTCCATGCAAATGATCGTGAGTCGGAAAGCTGGTCACAAAAGGACTGTGAGAATACTCTTAATACTGTTTTACTGTTTTACCCTTTTAGCTTCCATTATGAAGTTCCGCTGTGAAATCTTGTTGACAAAAATGAAATAAAAGCAAATACCCGCATGTGTCTTAGAAAGTAGTAAGAAACATATTCAGAATATTCAACTTCGCTTCTGTCTGCTTCCACCTTTCACTATGTTTTTTTTAAACTTCTGTATGTTCAGTGGCTTATTTTTTCATTTAAACTCTGCAATTTGTAGCTCAGAATGAAATTTCTTTTATATTTGTGCCCAAACTTTATTTAACTTGTTATGGTTTATATGGCCTTTTTACGATTTTAGGGGATTGTCTAATAGCCATAATATCTTCTAATGAACTCCAAAATTATCAATTTTAATTTTATTAATGTTATATAATTATTTGTTATTTTGTTCCATAACTATTGTTCACTATCAAACATCCAATAAAAGACTCGACAAAGGGGAATATCTCCTATCGTCGATGTCTATCTTTTTTATATTATAGTGATGGGGATAACTCAAGCGAAAATTCGCTCGAGTACTCGATTATTGAAATAACCGACATCGCTCGATTATGAACGAGCGACGAACGCAAGCGATCCTAGAATGAAATAAATTGAAATCCGATTTTAATGTGACATACTCAATAACAAGCTGAGCAAATTTTCTACATATATTGCAGGTAGCAAATTTATACGACGTTACCCGTTGCGTATCTGAGGGACAAAATTTTACGACCTACATCGACAATGCTTTGAAATAAACTAAATCAAGCGAATCGCTCATTTCTTGCTACTTGCCATTCATCACCGAAAGAATATGTGCCCTGCGCACGCAACTTACTGATGCTGGGCGCTTGGCGTTAACGAGTACTTACAACAATCGATGGACGAAAAACCGTATTTTTAAATACGAGCGATATTTCGAAATTATTATCGCGATTATTGAAATTAATCGGTTTTTCCCATCACTACTTTTTTGTATATTTTTTACTTTTTAGTATATTGTCTGCCCAGACAGAGGCATTAAAAAATTAAAATGAGAGACAATTGTTGTCCGTCATTTTTATTCACAGGCAAATAGAATGTTTTGCCTATTATTGGAAGTCGGCTGTTGTAAATATCCCCTCTATACATTGGTTTAATTAGTGAAGTTCTAATTTACTGTCAAGGACCTGTTACAAAAGTTGACAGGAATGAAACTGCCACACTTAAGAAATCAAAAAACTTGAAACATAATTTTTCCCATGAACATCTTTTTAAGTCGGAAATTTCATTTTTAACTGGTAATAATTAATAATAATAATAATAATATATTACATTTACAGCATTATGCCATAAAATTAATTATTAGAATATATACATTTACAACATTATGCCATAAAAAGGGAACAATGAAACGTACTAAAATATAAATTGCTGCCTACGGTAAGAAATTTACGTACTAATTATTATTTACTACAGAACCGACTGTGGTCTATACGGTTACTGCTTCATTAATTTAATTTAGAAATAACGCTTCAGGGTATTTTTCGAAAAGCTGCCCATAAACGTTAGGTTTATATCTTTATTTAACGCAGGTGGGTGTGAATCCAGCTCTTTAATTAACTCTAATTGAAAACGAAATTTTATTGACGATGTTGTGTAATATTTGATAACTATTATTATTCTTCATTGACCTTTTAAATTAAATGGATTTATTATTATTTATAGACACGGATAATGCCTAAAAGGATTAGTGAGTCATCAAATAATGATATTATCCCAATTTTATGTAAAATTTACCGATTTTCTCAGATATGCGCGCTCTTATATTTGATACCAATTAAACTTTAGTTACGTAATCGAGGGCGCGACTTTTAAATTCATTGTGGTCAACCAGGGTCATATTCGGCGCCGGGCTGACTAACTGGAATTTAAATTTCCCTCTGGGGATTCAGGTGGTAGCTCTGCTGTAAAAAATGTCAAGTTGCCACATTTATTTATTTATTTCCTGACATTGTCATTCGTTTTGATAATTGAGTTTTGTATTACGAGTTTTGGTTTAAATGAATTGTGTTGTGGTATTTTTAAGCTTAAAAATTTACTAGCGGACTTTGCAGTCGAACATTGTTCTTTTTAGAACCTGTTTGAGTGCGAAGTGTACAAGATAGCTTAATAACCGTAAAAACTGATCGCAACTTTATTAGAATAATTTGAAAGGGAAAGCGGTAATTAATTTATTTTTGTTTCCTAAAATATTTTGACTAAAAGAAAATATGTAAAAGTGGGCAACGCTGTACCGGTCAAGCTTAATCAAATGACTAAAAGTTTATTTGATATAAACTATACATATGGCTCTTTCAACGGTAAATCTTTATGAAAGACACCTACTCATTTTTTGCAGTATATTTTACTATTGAATACGAAAATTCTATATAGGATATGCACCTTTATAAAGAATATGTATAAAACATTTAAAAATACTTGAATTGAAATGCATACAGAAATATAGAAAGCAAATGACATCAACTGTCAAATTGATTGATCTCATTCCTATGTTATGGTATAGATGACTGATGTTGTGGTATAGATGATCGAATGTGACTCATTCATCTGTACCACAAGATTGTCAAAATAACAAAAACACTCTCTTCGCTGTTAGGTTTGTTATCACAGTTATATAGATTAAGAAAACTATGTTTTAAGCAAAATCTCAAATTTTCCTTTTTTAATTTACAGGTCCAGCGCCGGATCCAGAATCCCCTGCGATTCCAACTCTTTGGAAGGAGATAAGCCTCGATCTGCCCACCAGGTCCATCCGGTGCTCGACGCGCGCCACCTGGTGGGCTACGAGAAAACTGAGCGCGCAGATACTCCACCCCCGCCGCCGCCGCAAAGGTAATTGATTTTCTCTAAACCTTTTTTCCTAATGATTTTTTTTTCGGAATTTTATATTTGCTAAAAGCTATAATGATGGTGACCTTTTTACCTTTGATATAAAATATAGTGAAATGTTTTCTCGTTATTAGTAGCGCAAAAAAAAACGGCGTCCAGTTGGCTTTGAAGTGACGATCAATGATATTCCCCATATAATTTTACATTTAAAATGACAGCGATCTTCATTCCATTGCCATCCCTGACGACTTTTTTTCGATCATATATATACAATATATCATAAATACATACGTGATATCAACATCAAACCAGTTGTGAACGATCTTTGAGTGTGAGTCTGTCTATGAAATAATATATTATACGATCGAAAAAAAAAACGGCGTCAAAGACGGGTGTGGAATGACAATCGATGATAATTTTGGCGAGGTCAAGCCTCAAGACGTCATTACTTGGCCGGTACTCTTCTTTATTTTTTAGTGGCGCTTACTGCCAGGTGGCCTTGAAGGTTATAATATATTTTTGTTTTGAGTAAAATTTATTTATTATTTTTCATTACAAACCAAACCAAACATTAGTTTTAAATGGTGTACTTTTAAATTCGAGAAAAAATATTTTTTTGGCATTAGATAACCAAACCAAACCTTTTTAAATCTTTCTATAATTGGTCTTAATTTTGGCAAGTTTTATGTCAATTTTTAATAAATGACGTCTATAGATTTACCTCGCCAAAATTATCATTGACTATTCATTCCCCAGCCGTCTTTGATTCCGTTTTTTTCGATCATGGTAGTTCTGATTATATAAACATTATGTATTTTGCTCGCTTAAAAAAATATTAAAACATAGATTTTGATGTGTAATTATATATAGAATTCTCAATGTTTTAAAATATAGGTAGCCCGAATAGAGCTGAGAAGCTTAAACTATATTAAAAATATCAGATTCAATCTCTTTCGAATTTGAGTATTTCCAAAAATCGAAAACGATGTATGCGAAAAATTGTATTGAAAAATATGTCTAAGAGTTTAAAATTGTCAATTATTATTTTAGTGAAGGTTTGCATAATTCTTTTGTATATGATTGACCGTTTCTAACTAGTGCCATGAGCCACGATATGATCTAGAGAAAATATTAAATTTGTTTTGTACAATTCTTTTGGATTCTCTGTATTATTAGAATAATATTTAAGTGTTTATGTTTTTCTAACATACATAAATATGCGTTAACAATATTTTCTGAAATGTATTTTAGTTTTTCGTTTATCATCATAGAAATATATAAAAATTAAAGGTTGTTAAAATCGTTCTAAGGGGAATTGCATGTTATTATTATCACTCCATTTTTCTACACAGCATTATGTCAAGTTTGTAGTTTTAAAATTCTCTGTTACAATAGTATCTTGTAAGTACAATAATGGTTTTGAGAAGACTTTTATGGTTTGGTTTTAAATCCCGAATCTAGTTACTTTCTAAATACATATATTTAATAACAATTTGCTTTATTGAAGCGATATTCACAATTATTTTTTTTTGTTTACTAAAGAAGTAGTAAACAATATTTCATAAGCTTTTGTGCTATTGTGCTGTAGTATACCTATACAATAATGTAAGTGTTTGGTAGTTTTTTACCTTTTTTAACTTTATAATTATAAAAAGATTGCTAAAATTTACATATTTTAGTCACAGCTAAATATAGCTTCCTTCCATCCTAGCTATCTTGTATCGACTTGTAATCTGGATATAAGACTTTCCGATCAATAAGTTTTTTCTACTTGTAGGTGTCTCCCTCTGGCGCCGAACATTTGCGTCGAGGCCGGTCAGATCCAGTTCGTAAAACACGAAGACGAATCCACAGCGCCCCCTGCGAACGGCACGGTAAACACGGGAAGGGTGACTGTAACGAGAGGGTTGCAAACCGAAGGAGATGAATTCTTGCACGTTCAGGTAGGTGGCGGTGCATGTTTAAAATTTGTATTATTTGTTAAGGCGAATTTATACTGAACGTTTACCACAATTACCACTAATTTCAGACACAAAAGTATGTTTTCAGTTTCGAAAACAAACTCAAAACTCAAATTCCACCATCGACCTGAAATCGCTTTTTATTGTTTTGAATATGTTTCCTGTAATTTCAACCAGATGAACAGTTTTCATCATGCATTATACTATTGACGATTTATTTATTACGTTTGATTTTTATAGTCCAAAGTATTGAGTGTAAAAAGCAAATGCGGAGGAGATCAAGGTACTGCAAAGGGTTCATTTTAAAACCACGATTATGGAATATGGTAAAACCATGACCAGCTTGATAAATGATGACAAATAAATAGAGTCCATACATAGAATAGATAACTAAGATGATCTTTTCATAATCTTATAAGAACGTCCAGTAATGAATTTGGAAACTAAATTTGTTAATTGTTGATTAGTGTAATATAGTTATTGTGTATTATAAATAATTATGTGTAACAACTCAAAAGCTTCAAAATGTTCCTCATTTTGGAAACCGCACTTCCTGTTTCATTGAAAACGTCGTGCCGTGTTGTCCGTTTGGTGGAACATGGTTTGGTGCCTTTATTGACAAGACCCTAAAAATAATACTCAATCTAGCTCTAGAACATTTTTCTACTCTACATATTATGAAGTTAAAAGATAGGTACAGGTATTTAATACATTAAGGTAGAACCATACTTCAGTAAGAGTAAACAAAATTGAAATTTGTACATTTATTAGTTTTATATTGTGTCGTATGTTGTTTATTGAATAATTAATTAAAAAAGGTAATATATTACTAGAAGCCATAGATTACTAAGATCTACAGATCCTGAGTAATACATTTAATTAATGCCTCTTTTATTATTGTTAGTAGCTATCAGTTCTTTCATTATAATTTTGGCATTTTAAAATCACTTTGTTTCTTATGTGTTGTTTCTATTAGTCCCATTAGTGTTAACAAATCCTAGAGATGCAAAAATGTCTTTTTTCACATTTGACATATGAAAGCCATTTTTTGGCATAATATATTAACGTTTTCACACTATTACATGGTATTGTATATCATAATAAGATTGTATATCACATTTTTTCTTTGATTTGGTTCGGTATTCTTTGGTTTTAATCGGGTCTATTGGGTTTTAAGTCTGATTAAAGAAAAAAAAGATTGTTTGAATTCATGAATTCTTAAAATAATCTTTATTGAACAAATTCTTCCTATGAATGATAATAATAATATAAATTGACATTATTAAATTAAAATAATTATTATGTTCATAATGTAGGTATATCGATTTTAAGAAATATACCAGAAAATAAATCAGTAGAGATGGCTGAACAGGAAGTCACTTATCAGATTACCGAAGCCTAACGAAATGCGCATATTCGTTGATTAAATTATGATTTTTCTTTTAACGGGAAAGTCGAACCGTATTTTACCGGTAGCTAGCCATTAATTTTCTTTGATTGATCGGCCTTTCGAAACCGTGTGTATTTTTTTGACTGTATTTTTTTCATGAGCGGAAACGTACGTAGGGATTGGGAAATAGCGATTTAAATATTCTAATTTGAAATCCGTGTTGATCCGCAATCGGATTTCGGAGATATACGAAATAGTAAAATAGAGATTTATCTTATGTGTATTGAACAAAGTAGTAGATATAGGTAGAATCTCACGGAAATATAACATATATGATTTTACTTCATGATGTTAATAGTATTTTGAGGTTTATTGTGTATATATTTTGGGGAAGTGTTGTTGTTTCTCCACTGAAACAGTAATTAAAAAATAAAGTTAGTTTTTTTGTAATTGTCGTTGCTTTAGAATCCAAATGGAAACCAGCTTCGTAGGTGCAACTTACTAGTAAATTCTCACTATAACCGGCACATACGTCATATTTTAAGTAAATTGATCATTTATGAAATTCACTTAAAATTAACTAATTATTGTATATTTTTTCTTGCATTTTTACTTATACTTACAACTTTTCAAAGGTTAGATGTAAAAGAAATTTAGATACGTCAATTTGACTTAGCTAATTCAGTAGGCTATCGGATGTTTGTGTTAATTAATAATTATTATAACTTATTTATTTTTATTAGAATTATACAGGGTCGCTGTTATGTATGGAAACGGTCGACTATTAGGTAAAATATAGGAGGTACGGCAAAAAGTTAAATATAAAAGTTTATAAATATATATTAGCGGGCAAATTTAGTATACAGGGTCGGTCATAAAGTCGTGGCAGCATCAAAGTTTTCCATTTTTTTTAAATGGAACCCCCTGTATATATTGCATATTTTCGGTTCTTTCTCAATTCTAAGCAAAAAATGGAAATACACACAAGTTACCCGCCCAACCCAACCGTTTCCCCCGAGTTATTGGACTTTTGAAAAATAGTCCTTAAATAATTTTAATTTAATTTAATTCGATATATTGCATCTCATTTTAAATAAATAAATAAATTAAATAATATTAAATGCCTTTTATTGTCAAAAATTTTTTCAATTTGTAGACAAAGGTAAACTAACAAACAAAGTAGAAAAAAACAAGGTACACAAACAAACAAACAAAAGATAATACAAAACATTATATAAATAATTTTAATGATGCAATTTTGCCGAAACTGTGATACTTAATAATATTTGACATTAGTTCTCTACTTAGCATTTATAGATGTATAAAATATATAATAAAAAAAAAAAAAAAAGTTTATTAAAAAAAAAGATTTTTTTTTTTTTTTTTTTTTTTATATTTTAATTTAAATTGGTTTGTCCAAAATTGTTTCAATTTCGTGGTATGCAGACCTTTAAAAACCTATTTACGACTTATACTGTAAAATTAATAGGGGAGCCAATATTTTTTGGACAGTTCAAAATTTACCCGGAATTTTCTATGTTTCCAACGAATATATTAGAGCACGCTTCATGCATGAATAGATTAACAGCATTATACCCTTTTTTTTAATATTATTATTCCGAAAATTTAATTTTGGTTTTTGCTTTTTTTTTTTTTTTTTTTTTTTTTTTTTTTTTTTTTTTTTTTTTTTTTTTTACTTTTGTTTAAAAATTGATATTCTTTTTTGTTAGCTTGTCATGTACAGTTTGCATTCCGCCATGACCAGACTTTAACTATAGATAGGCTTGTGTACTCGTTACGTCGCATTCAATTGTTGCCGTCGTTTCAATCTAAGCCTCTCTCCTGGAGATAATGGATTAACTCGACAATAATTAACTAATTGTATTAATTCAGATTCTGCGTTGGAAACAACAGCAATGCGGAAACGGTCGCTGACGTAAAAGCACCGATTTATTATCTCATAAAGAGGAGCAAAGACAGAGCAAGTCGCATTAGTGTTTACGTCAGGCTTAAGCCCTAGTAACTCTTTGGAGAGAAACTCCTTCTAAGAGCGCGGTTTCAGAGAGTTGTTACTGTTAAATTATGATTTTTTGTCGTCCCCCCCATCCGTCTACGCTTATTAATCGTCCAGATCTCCCGGAGATCGGAGACTTAATTGAGTGTTTAAAGTTCATGGGAGGGTGTACTTTTTTCTTTGATGATTTGTATTAGTAATTTTTATTTCTTTTTAATGTGGGGTGGATACCTGAAACATTTTGTTTGGCGGCGACTTGGGTTTTTTGGATATGGATAGTACATATACATCAAAAAACGCCCCAAACCCCAAAATTTTGGGGCTCCCCACCACCGGTATGACGTCATTAAAGCGGGGTCAAAAAAAGGCCTTTTAATGCATATAATACTTTTTTTTCTTTGTTTATTTTACTTTTGTACTACACATATTGAAAATAATTTCAAACTGTTTTAATTATATGGCGGCCATCTTGTTATATCAATGTCAAAATTTTGACATTTTAATCTGAAATTTCGTGTTTGATATCAAATTTTAAATTTTTTGGGGTCGACAAATTTTAGTGAGAATTAAAATATTTTCACGATACACATCTACAACTAGATGCTACCCCAGACGTGACGCCAAACACCCTCAAAAATTTATCTTTTTATACATCCCTTTCAACAGGACCCAGGGGGGTGTTGGAGAAGTTGGGATGCACCAACCTTTATAACTATATATAAATTCCTATTTATGTTATAATATTTTTTTCAAACGTATGATAATTGATTAAAAATAGTATTTTAAATAAAAATAACATTTTAATTGTTAATACCTTATTTAATCGTTTCAGAACCAATGTCCTTCACATGCACACAGCTGTGTACACCGAAGACCGTTTTTTACACATTTACATGCTGAAGACCGTTGTTTGCAGCTACAGGCGATTAGTTCCTCACAGCTATTCACAACATCTGGAATGGTAGACCACAATGGCTGAAATCCGTCGTTAGTTTTTTGCCATCCCCAATTATCAGGCAATGGAGCTTGAAAGTTTTTTTCCAAACAGTTTGTTCATATAAGAGCTTGTAGACTGGCTCGCCAAGTGGCTCGCTTGATATGTTGCATCAAAGCATTTTGCTTTGGAGGTATATTCTCAATTACCCTATTTTTTTGAGGCGTCTACCAACTCGTTATGTCTCAGGGTAATAATGTCGCACTTCGACCACAAATCTTTCCATGTGCAATATCTTCATCTGGATCTCTTCCCATAAGCAGTTTTTCAAAAGCCGAATTAACATTAGGATCTGCTATCCAAACCTTCCAAGCTCCTGTCTTGCCAGAATGATGACAACATATGTCGATGTATGAATGAAAATTGGTAAGATATATCTGTAAGTCTTCTGTGAAAGCTGGGAACATAAGCCATGAATGCTATTAATCTTTGATGTTTCCCAGTTCCAAAATTGAATTTTTACGAGTAGATGAAAACAAACAGCAGTTATTTAGCTTTTTGGCAAAACAGCTAACAAGCGAAACTTTTATTGGAAAACAATAGTTTGTACGCTCGAAGAAGATCAGTAATATCTTCTTCAGCAGAATTGGATCTTTCAGATATTTTGCCATCGTGGCATGAAGAAGCAGCGCTCGCCTTCTTCTGCATGCTAAACATGCAGTCGATAATGGCCACAACTGCGTCACCATTTGAACGGTGGATTCAGATGTTGTTGTCATTGCAGTGTCAACATTTTTTTTAAATTAAAAACATTCAACAACTCTGAATTGATTTTGGAACTGGGAAACATCAAAGATTAATTAGCATCCATTGCTTATGTTCCCAGCTTTCACAGGAGACTTGCAGATATCTACCAATATTTCATTCTATAACAGGTTGGGATACTGTGTCATCGTTCTGTGGGGTGGGCAAGAAAGGAGATTCGAAGGTTTGGATAGCAGATCCTAATGTTAATTCGGCTTTGAACAACTGCTTATGGCAAGAGATCCAGATGAAGATATTTTGCGTACTATGGAAAGATTTGTGGTTCTATTATATGATGCGACATCACCCTTGAGTACTGTTAACGAGTGTAGACGCTTCCTGTTCATAAAAAATAGGGCAATTGAGAATATACCTCCAACGCAAAATGCCTTGATACAACATATCAAGCGAGCCAGTCTACAAGCCCTTATATGGAACAACTGCTTGGAAAAAGACTTTCAAGCTCCATTGCCTGATAATTGGGGATGGCATAAAACTAACGACGGATTTCAGCCATTGTAGTCTACCATCCCAGATGTTGTAAGAAGCTTGAATTTGTGTTGGGGAAGGGATGTATAAAAGACAAATTTTGAGGGGTTGTTTGGGGTAACATCTAGTTGTAGATGTATCGTATTAACATTTTAATATCATCACTAAATTTGTCGACCCCAAAAACCTACAAATTGAAATCAAACACGAAATTTCAGATAAAATGTCGCAATTTTGACATTTATATAACAAGATGGTTGCCATATAATTAAAAAAACAGTTTTTTTTAAATTACATATATTTATTCAAATGTTGTTTTAGTATAAAAAATAAAATTAAAAAGGTTTTTATGCAAAAGGTATTTATATGCCTAAAAGCCGTTTTTTTACCCCCGCTTTAATGACGTCATACTGGTGGTGGTGGGGGCCCCAAATTTTGGGGTCTGGGGCGTTTTTTGATGCTTGGTATATGTACTATCCATACTCAAAAATTCAAATTCGCCGCCAGCACTGAAATATTTTTATGCTATCCGACCCCACTATAAATGCTTCGAATGCTGCTTATTTTATTTAAGATTAGTTTCCGTCACTAAAACCTAAAATACTTTTTTTTGTTTGGTCTCTATTACCAAGATACCTATTTTTTCATTTCAATAACAGTGCAAAATTTATTTCACAAACTAATTCTGAAAAAATCAATATATGTTATTGTTATTTGTTATCTAGTATAAATAACATTATTTTAAAATAGTATTATTTTCAAGACAGGTGA